CCAAAGCCCATTAGTAGGCCACTGGAGATCCCCTTGCAGAGGGGTCCCGGGGAGGAGATGAGCCAGCCAGGCTGCAATGCAACAACGATGAAAAACACAACCCTCCTCCAGCTCCCAAATGTCTCCTCCCCGCTCCCCCCACCAAGACCTGAACCCAACCCTGCAAGTCTGGCTAGACCAGAGGATGTACACCGGCACAGACAGGAACCGAAAACACAGGGAATCCAGGGCAGATGAGCCCCACAGGACCAGTGGGTAAGCGGCGAAACAGGGAGGGTAGAGGTGAGTGGGTAGGAAAGAGGAAACCGATTACAAGGAACCATACGTGACCTCCTCCCTGGGGGACGGACAACCGAAAAGTGGGTGAAGCGAGACGCCGGACAGGGCAAGACATGACAAAACACCAATCTATAAACTATCAAGGGCTCACGAGAGAGGGGGGAGCGGGGAGGGAGGGGAAAAACGAGGACCCAATGCCGGGGGTTCAAGTGGAGAGAAAATGCTCCGAGAACGACGCACAAATGCACGTCACACAACCGATGTGTGCATGGACTGCGACAACAGCCGCACGAGCCCCCAACAAAATGCCAAAAAAAAAAAGAACATAGCAGCCTGTGTGATCATGAAGTGGCAAAGGGATCAGTTATCAGGCATCAAAGACCAAAAATATCATATCATTGCGTGCTCACCTCCATGATACGATTGCTGAAGACAAATGGGTGCATAAGCAAATGTGGCGAAGAAAGCTGATGGTGCCAGGCCATCAAAAGGTACAGCGTCTGGGGTCCCAAAGGCTCGAAGGTAAACAAGCGGCCATCTAGCTCAGTAGCAACAAAGCTCACATGAAAGAAGCACACCAGCTTGTGCAATCACGAGGTGTCAAAAAATCTTACCATAGTGAATGAGGAGGGCAGTGCGGAGTGGAGACCCAAAGCCCACTTGTAGGCCATTGGAGATCCCCTTGCAGAAGGGTCTCAGGGAGGAGACGAGCCAGTTAGGATGAGATATAGCAACGATGAAAAATACAACTTTCTTCTAGTTCCTAAATGCTGCCCCCTCCCTCCCCCCGCCACTATCATGAAACAAATTCTACCTTGTAAGTCTGGCTAGACCAGAGGTTGCACACTGGTACAGATAGGAAACAGAAACACAGGGAATCCAGGGCAGATGATCCCTTCAGGACCAGTGGTGGGAGTGGCGATACTGGGAAGGTAGAGGGAGGGTGGGTTGGAAAGGAGGAACCAATTTCAAGGATCTACATGTAACCTCCCTGGGGTACGGACAACAGAAAAGTGGGTGAAGGGAGATGTTGGACAGGGCAAGATATGACAAAATAATAATTTATAAATTATCGAGGGCTCATGAGGGAGGAGGAGGAGAAAGAGAGAGAGGGGGAAAAAATGAGGACCTGATGCCAGGGGCTCAAGTGGAGAGCAAATATTTTAAGAATGATGAGGGCAATGAATGTACAAATATGCTTTACACAATTGATATATGTATGGATGGTGTTAATAGTTGTATGAGCCCCTAATAAAACAATTAAAAAGAAAAAGAACAACCTCAAGCTTATGTTAAATTTCCCATATAACTAAACAAAGAAAAAAAGAAGAAGAAGAAAGAAAACACGTGTGGTTTGACTAGATTTTCATAGTCTGTCCACGTCAAAATCAGCTGTACTTTTCTTCTCATTTAAAAATATTCTTCAACATGGGTGGAGGGAGATAGCAGAGGTGTAAGATATGAAAGAAATCATAATTTATAATTTATCAGGGGTTCATGAGGGTGGGGAGGGAGGGAAAAAAGAGCTGATACTCAAGCAGAAAGAAAATGTTTTGAAAATGATTGCAATATATGGACAAATGTGTATGACACAATTGATGTATGGATCATTATAAGAGCTGTAAGAGCCCCCAATAAAATGATTAATTAAAAAAAATTCTGATCAAATAATCTTGCAAAAGAAAGATAACCTAGCCCTAAGTCTAAAATAAAGGCAAAGGAAAAATGGGTGTTTCTCTGCTCAATTATCAGCGAGCGCCCTTAGGCTATCTGTGCCAAGAACTTCATGTACTGTTCTCGAGCGTCATAATGGTCAGCAGGCCGGTTGTAGGCTGTCCACACTGGCTCTCCAACAAATAGCCGCATTGCTTTTACATAGTTCTTTTCATCGAGTGTGAAACGGTGATACATTCCCGCAGGAAGGGTTATCATGTCTCCTTTCTCCATGAAAATGTGGATCCACTTGTCCTCTTTATCTCTTACATCAAAATAACCACTCCCATCCAAAATATATCGAATTTCATCATCCAAATGTAAATGTTCCTCATAAAATATTTTAATCTTTTCTTCATAGTTGGGTAGTTGCTCTCTGCATACTGTGATTATGTCCATCCAAGAGTAGTTTCTCTCTTTACGGATCTTTTCTAATTCTGGGTCATTCTCATAATTGTCTGCATCCAATTTCCAGTAAAATACACCGAGCCGACGCAGTTGCTCCAGGCCGACCGGGCGACTGGGCTCCGGTCGGTGGGGTTTCCTCGGGTCGTCCGGGGACTCGTCCATGTACCACACTTCCACCATTTCCCCGGCAGGTTGCAGTTCAAACCCCAGAGACGACTGGGCCATAAAGCTCTTTCTTATACACATATGAGTGTCTATGAATTTGTTTCTCTAGTCTACCCAGACTAACACATCTGCCAAACTATGCAATAAGAAAGATGGTGAGGTAAGAATCTTCCCAGACAAAAAAACCCTCAAAGAATATGCCCTAAGACAGCCAACTCTGTAGAAAATCCTTGCCGACTCACTGTGGCCAGAAGACTAACATTCACCAATGACAAGCGGGAGACCCTCATATACCATAACTCCATCCAGAAGTCAATGCGCTGAAAAAAATTACCAAGATAACATTGCCTCAGAGGGAAAGGAAGGCATGAATGAAGCCCCCCACATAAACACAGCACACTGATATGAAGGGTGATCAGGAAACACCCAATACAAAAGGTAAGAGATGACAGCAAGGAATCTACAGATTGTGGTAATAACTCTAAATGTCAACAGCGTGAACATGTCCATTAAAGACAAAGGTTAGTAGACTGGCTCAAAAAAATATAACCCATCAAACTCTTGCCTGCAAGAGAGACACAACTTAAGCTTGCAAACAAATATACAATAAGAATTAAAAGCTGGAAGAAAATACACCAGGTAAACAGCAATGCAAACAAAAAAAAACAAAACAGGGGTTGCAATCCTAATCTCTGACAAAATTGACCTCAAGGTGCAAACCATAACAAGAGACAAGTAAGGGCACTCTATAATGTTCAAAGGATCAAAGAGACCAGAAACGAATAAACATATATGTGCCTAATGCGAGACCAACAAAATTTGTCAAACTATTCAAAAGAAGAAAAATGAAGTAACAGACTCAACAATGTTAGTCGGTGACTAATACACCACTATCAGAGAACGCTAGATCACTGGGAAAGAAGCTCAACAATGAGGCTACAAAGCTAAACACTACGATTAGGCAAGTGGACCTGATAGATATTCATAGAGCTCTCTATCTAAATCCAAAAAACCATAACTTACATCATCCTCCATCACCCCTCACCCATTTTTCCATTATTCATCCCCCTGGGTGGGGGTCCTAGTTTGGTCCTTGTGAATATATGGAAAAATAATCTATAACTTATCAAGGGTTCATGAGGGAGGGCGAGCTGGGGAGGGAGGGGAAAGTAATCAGGAGCTGATATCAGGAACTCAAGTGGGAAGAGAATGTTTTGAAAATGATGATGGCGACATATGTGCAAATGTGCTGGACACATTAGAGGAATGTATGGATTGTGATAAGAGATATAAGAGCCCTCCAATAAAAATATTTTTAAAAAGAAAGAAAGAAAGTAGGCCATATGCTGAGAAACAAGTCAAGCCTGAGTAAATTCAAATACATAGATATCATTCACACATTTCTCTCAGACCACGATGCCATAAAGCTGAAGTTCAACAAAAGAATGACCAGAAAAACAAGGACAAACAATTAGAGGATGAATAATGGTCTTCTGCAACACAAATAGCTACTTGCCCACATTAGAGAGGAAATTAGAAAGTTTCTAGAAACTAATGAGAATGAGAATACAACATACCAAAAACCTATGGGATACAGAAACAGCCGTTATCAGAGGAAGTTTGATAGCAATTACTGCATATATGAAAAAGAAAGAGAGACTTATGACTGATATGCTAAGACAAAACCTCCAGCAACTAGAGCAGAGTCAACAGAATAGTCCTTCCAATAGCAAAAGAAAAGTAATCATAAAAATCAGGGCAGAGTTAAAGAGTGGGAAGACAAAAGAATAATACATAAAATCAATGCAGCAAAAAGCTGGTTCTTTGAGAGGATCAACGGAATCAACAGACCACAAGCAAATGTAACTAAGGAAAGGAAGGAGCAAACATCAATAGCCAGGATAAGGGATGAAACAAGGGAAATCACAACAGATCCCAATGAGATTAAAAGAATAATCACAAAGTACTTTGAAAGTCTGTATTCTAATGAACTTAACAATGTGGAAGACATGGACAAATACTTGGAAAAATAATCCTTCCCTAGATTATCCTATGTAGTGATCAAGAACCTCAACAGACCCATAGCAAAAGAAGTAATAGATATCGTTTACAAGAAACTACCATAAAACAAAGCTTCCGGACCAGATGGCTTCACAGGAGAATTTACCAAGCAGTCAGGGAAGAGCTGACACCATCTTCCACAAATTATTGCAGAGCACAGAAAACGATTGCAAACTCCCAAACTCATTCTATGAAGTCAATATAACTTTGATACCCAAACAGGGCAAGGATCCTGCAGGAATAGAGAACCACAGACCGATATCTCTAATGAACATGGATGCAAATATCCTTAACAAAACATTTGTTGGTAGAATAGAAAAATACATAAAACATATCATCCATTATGATCAGGTGGAAATCATTCCAGGGATGGAGAAATGGTTTGGCATCTGAAAGTCCATCAATACTATTCACCATATTGAAAAGAAAAAAGGATAAGAATCACATGATAAGTTCAATAGATGCAGAAAAAGCATTTGACAACTTCCAACACCCATTCCTAATTAAGACACTCAAGAAGATAGGAATGGAAGGAAAGTTCCTCAAATTAATACAAGTTAGTTATGAAAATCCAATAGCCAACATCATAGTCAATGGAGAGAAGATGAAAAAATTCCACTGAAAAAGGGAACCAGACAAGAATGCCCCTTGTCCTTACTTATTTTCAGCATTGTACTGGATGTCATAGCTAACAACATAAGGTAGCGAAGGGCATTAAAGGTATCTCTCTGAGAGAGGAAGAGGTAAAACTATCACTATTTACAGATGACATGATTCTATACATTGAAAACTCCCAAAGCTCCACAACAGGAGTACTGGCAGTAATAGCGGAATACAGAAGACTGGCGAGATACAAGGTCAACAAACCGAATTCTATTGGTTTGCTATACATATCAGAAGAGACCATGGAAGAGGACATCAAGTAGGCGGTATTCTTCACAGTCGCCAAGAGCAAATTGAAATAGGGATATATTTAACAATAACAATAAAAGACTTATACAAGGAAAACTACAGTACCCTATTACAGGAAACCAAAAGTGACCTCCACAAATGGTTGAATATCCCATGCTCATGGTCCCTCACTTTCTCTTTTTTCTTCTTGGTTTGCTTCTGTATGGATGTGGGTCAGTGTGTCTCTGAATGGGACCAGTCATGTAGACCTCTCTGTTCATGAGTTGCTCCATGTGGTTTGGCGCACCATGGTGGGGTCTGCACCCACACTTCCATTTCTCTGGAGACATAAACAATGCTCTCCCCCTGGGTAGATTAGTGCTCACTGGCCCAGTGCCATCGTCTCCCATTTCGCCCCCTTTTCTTTTTCCCTACCCCCCTTTCCCTTTCTTTGTATTGGAATGACACATATATCCTTGGGTTTGGTCTGCTTCCACTCGCCCTCATCCCAATTGCCTGTACCACAACTCTTAAAGCGTGTGTTAAGTGCCTTTTCTTCTCTACCTACTGTGCTAACATACTTCCCTTAGTGGACTCATGTTGTACTTGTCCTTTTGTGATTGGTTAACTTCACTTAGGATAATTTCCTCCAACACTTCCCATGAGATGATGTGCTTCCTGCGATCATCAGTGCTTTTTAGTGATTCATAGAACTCCATTGGGTATGTGCCAGAGTTTCTAATCACTCATCTATCGCTGGAAATTTAGGTCCTTTCCAATTCTTTATGATTATGAATTGTGCCGCAATAAATATTGGAGCACAGACAGATGGGCATGGCCTATTTCTTACCTCTTCTGCATATATGCCCAGTAGAGGGATTGCTGGGTGATAAGGTAATTCGATTTCCATTTGCTTTAAATATTGCCAGATGGCTTTCCACAGTGCCTGTGCATATCTACAAGACTACCAACAGTAGGGGAGAGTTCCTATCTCACCACATCCCCTCCAACATTTGTTGTTCTCTGATTTTCTGATTTGGGCTATCCTCAAGACTCTTAGGTGGTATGTCATGGTTGTTTTAATTTGCATTTCTCTGATGGTTAATGACTGGGAGCATTTTCTCATGTTTATTGGCCATTTGAATCTCCAACCTAGTGAAATGTCTGTTCACGTCTTCTGCCCTCTTCCTCAGGGGTTTAATTGTTTTCTTCTTTTGCAGGTTAGGAGGGTGTTGTAGATTTTAGTAATAAGCCCTTAGTATGTTGTGTCATTGCTAAAAATCCTCTCCTAGGTTGGGCAGAGGAGCCTACCTACCATGCCCATACATAAGCAAACCAAGAAGGAAAAAGAGAGACTGAGGGACTAGATCCCATACTGGCACATCAAACCTTGAGGTTGATGTCCCTGCATGGAGCTGCTAAGGCACAGAGAGGACGGTAGGACCAACAACAGTTTGAAACATGATGTCCCCTCACTGGAGCATACCAAAACATAGGACAACACTGGGGACACATGGCAGGGACTGAGTCCAGTCTGTCTACCACCCCAGTGGGGTGAACTGAGAAAGGAACAACAGAGATCAGCAGCAGGAGCAAAGCAAAGCCACAAAACCCCCAAGGAACCCACAAAATAGGCTTTAGTCTAGGAGGGGAAGTTCCCCAAACCCCAGGATCAGTGGGTAGATAGTCATAACAGTCAGAAGACAGACCTGGAATTATGTATGCCTTTTTGTTTCTTTTTTTTAATTTTTTAATTTTTTGCTAGTCTTTTTGTTGTTTTATTTCATTTATTATTTTTTCTCCCTTTACTCAATCTTTTTTTGTCTCTGTTATTGTTTGCCTACTTATATAAGATAGGAAGGGGAAGAAAGCCTGAGGAGAGAGCAAGGGACAGATAATTCTGGAGGAACTTGGGGGAAGGAGGAGTAAGCAAACAACACTACGGAAAGGGGAACTACTAGGGAATTAAAAGCAACAAAAAGGAAGACCTAGAGATCCTGATGGTGTTGGGGCAACAGTAATCTAGCTGAAAAGAATTACTAAGAGGCAGAAGGGTGAGTGTC